TATATATATATATATATATATATATAATTCGTTGTGTTTGTAAAGGAATACTTTGAGATGCTTCAGTTGGAACCAGTCATGGATAGCAAGGCGGCTGGTGCCACACAGGAAGAGCCCTTCGCGGAGAAGAAAACAGAAAAAAATAATTCTTCAGACGAGGGGCAGAGGGGTGTGACGACAGTGTCGCACACAGGATTCCTCGAATCGCGACAGAAAGCTCTGTCTTCATCGGATCCCACTTCAATATCACCGTCACCAGCAAGAAATCTTCAAACAAATGGACAGGAGATCGACCAGCCTATAAACAGCAATGCCGGTAAAGAACTTCCAGGGCTGCGACGAGGACAATTGAAAGGGCGAACGATGTCGGGTGACAACAATTTGGAGAACGGGTCTTTTAATCGGCGTTTGTCTCCAGGAGAATTTGATTCCGCAAAGCGATTCCAAGGGTCTGTTCCCACTCAAATCACGACATCCAGAACTTTTGTTTCCCCAACGGATGCCTCGAATACCCAGAGGCCATCCCGAGTGAACATCACGCGAAATGGCGTGGCACGAGGACTCGAAGAGACCTCTGTGAACCCGCAACGACAGGACAGCGTTGCCACGCAATCAGCCTCACGTGAATCCCCCGAAACGACAGATGGTTCAGGGACTCCGCATCGGCACCGTGTGTTCGTTGACCAAGCCTCTGCTAGAAACACCGAAAATCGGCCAGGATGGCGGTCCTTCTGTTCAACGGTGTCTACGCCCCGTTCCTCTCTTGGGGCGGCCCACCCTGGGACACCACGAACCCCCTATACAAGGTCTCCTATACGGCCAAGAGATTCTGACGCCAGGCCAAGACAACCTGAAGCTGTCGTAACACCAAATAAAGTCATTTTCAGACTGCATGACTCCAAGGACGACCTCACAGGCCCCACATCAGTTGTTACAACAAAAAGTGAAGTGATACCGTCAGGTGTTTCCTGGCCCAGTGAGGGAATATCTCAGCGGGGCTCGGAACACCCTCAGCGAAACGAGTTACAGCCTGCTGAAACAGAGTTGAAGGTCCGCATGCTGTTCTCTATTGCCCCTGACGAAAACAATGCTGTAATGGAGGGGGGAAAAACCGTTGAAGCGCCACTTGCTTTGGAGCAGGTGCCGACCAACGTTGTCGAAAGCGATCGACAACAGGCGGAAAATGGTGCCATCGGATTTGATACCTCTGCATTATTCCCTCGTCATCAGGTGGGGTCTACTGATACGGAGCCAAATATCCAGAACGACCCAACACAAGGTAAAACTTCACTGTCCAATGAGAATGGGAAACATAATTCTCTAAACTATTCACGACATGAACCTGGGCAGCAAGGGCCAGGGATTGGTGCTCCGGTGGCCGTCACCGTAAACGAGTCAAACACCGGCATCAATTCTCGAACTTCTTTTGAGAGGGCGCAAGCACCGCATCTTGTATCAACCCCACGGAACTCTATTGATATGAGTCGCCAGGTGGCAGCAGGGTCTCAAACACCGCGCACCCCCGGCGGGAGCTTACGCCTTCGTGTGCTCACTGTGGAAATGGAGCACACGCCGAGGGGTGAAGCGGCACCATCGTACCTTCCGCTGACGAGTGAAGAGGATGCAAAGAGGACACCACGTCAGTCGCGCCGTGAAACACCTACACCGACGCAAGCGTCTTCAGAACTAACACTCCATCTGCAATTCTCTCTTGACAACGGGCTGAATACGTTGGCGGCTGATGAGAACTTGGCAGGAAATCGGTATGGAGTGGATCGTAACTCGACTTCGAGGTCCTCTCTTGACGTAAGCCGCCGTCTGGCGAGTGGATCCCGAATTTCTGCCAGTCGACGGCCTAAACCGAATGAAATGAGTGCAACGCCTAAGGCTGAAGAAGCACCTTCTCGTAGCTGGCGCGCCACGGATGGAACACCCAAATCAACACCGCGTCAGTCTCTACATGATGCACCTGACACAATGCGACGTCGAAGTGGGGCTAAGGTTGAGCCCAAGGTGCCTGATCTTCACTTGTCTCAACTGAAGGATGCAAAGAAATCACTGGGCGCTACGGAGGATGTGACAAAGATGCCATTAAATTTATTGGACCAAAGAATGTCTGGAAAGCCACGTGTGGATGCAGATTCTCACGAGTCGTCCGATCTCCAAAGCTCAGCCAGCCGATTCAGTAAGCCAGCCGTGGTTGGTGGAACACCAAGGAGTGAAGAAGCACCTTCTCGCCGCTTACGTGCAAGCGAAGGAGCATTGAAGTCAACACCGCGCCAGTCAGTACAGGATACACTTGACGCAATACGGCGCCGCAGTGGGGCTAAGGTTGAGCCCAAGGTGCCTGATCTTCACTTGTCTCAACTGAAGGATGCAAGAAAATCAGTGGGCGCTACGGAAGAAAAGGCAAGGACCCCACCACATCCAGTGGACCAAACACTTTCTTGGAAACCACGTGTGAATGCAGATTCTCATGAACCTTCAGATCACCAAAGCTCAGCCAGCCGATTGAGTAAGCCAGCCGCGGTTGGTGCAACACCAAAGCGTGAAGAAGCACCTCCTCACAGCTTACACGCACCCGAAGGAGCATCGAAGTCGACGCCGAAAGTGCCAGACCATAGCTCCTCCAGCGTTGGACCCAGCCACAGTACAAATAACGCAGCTTCTTTGTCTTTGGCCCCAAGTAAAATAAAGGAGACAACTGAATCTCCTGGGAAGGATGCCAATCTGGAGAAAAAGGGTGTCACAAATTTGTCGTGGTGGCCCTTGCGATGTGTATTTGACGGAGTGGAGAGAAAATACCCTCCGTTACCTTCTCCAGAAACCATGGTACATTGTCTTTTGGGTTGCTGAGTAAACAGTAATTCGATATAAAACGTACGCAAAGGGGTTACTAGTATCTTGACTGCTTTTTAGCACTACCAAGCATTGATGAGTGACGTATGTCCTTTTTTCTCTCCATGAATGTGATTGAGACAGTACCATAAACGAAAAGGGTGAAGAGTGGAAGGAACGTTACGAATTGATTAGGCATTACTTTTTTTTTTTTACGGGGGAGTATTCGGGAACACCAGGACGATATTCCTTTGTTTTTTTACGACTTCTTCAGCGTATCTCTTTGCATTTCCGTCGGATACTTGTTATATCACTCGTGAGCGTCTGGGACTACGGTGTCTGAGAAATGCCTGAGGTATTGAAAGGGTTTAGGTTTAGAGGTGTTAGCAATCATCATTTCCCACGCGAATAGGCTATTTGGTTTCCTCTATATCGAATTTCTCTACACCTGCTGTTGTTTTTTTCCCGTCATCGTTGGAGTGCTCGTCATTTTTTTTTTTTTT